CCTTTGCCCTTGGGCGGTCCCTTTGCAGGACCTTTTCCTGGTCCCTTCGCGGGGCCCTTGCTCATGACAAGCTCTTTGCAAGCGGAATGAAACATAGTCTCAGAAAGGAATAAGAAAGGAAGCGATAAGCGATGCCTCCAACCTAGAAGCGATGGCCTCCAACCTACTAGCAGCTGACAAGGATGAAGTTTAGCGTTAGAGAAAATTGCCCTTTATTTTTGAGGGTCTAGACTGATTTGTTCTGGAGTGCCTTTGTGTGCCTTGTTGTCCCGTGCGCTTGACACGCGACCATTTCCTGTCGAAGGCCCTAGGTGTTGGCTTTGAGTGTCTACAGAGACCTTTGAGCACCTAATAGCGATGGCCTCCAATCTAATAGCAATAAGCAGCTGCGTTCACCTTAATGGCTGAGAGACCTGTCCCCAGAGTCGCCTCACTGCCATTAGCTCCGCTAAGCTCTTTACTGTCCTCGGCCTGACAAGAATCTTTTCCGCGAGATTTTTGTTGGATTGGGTGCAAAAACGTCTACAGCATTCAAAAGTATGGCTAGCTGCTGGCTCTTGGAGTTGTGTTTCAATGTACAGGTTCAACGTGTGGCAAGCCTGTCCAGCCATGACCCTAGCTCAGGCAGTGCATGTCCGTCGATGTGCTCAGCTGCGTCTTTTTTCGTAGGTGTTTCTCTGGTGTGTTTCGCAGTGTCTCAGTGTCGAGAAAGAAGAAAAGTTCTATCAATCTCATCAGTCTGATTTGACTCGAGTGATTCGTACTCTGCATCTACGAGTCTACGAGAGCTAAAGCCATGAACATGGGTTTTACCTGTAAGGAAGCAAAGCTTCTGGAGCCAAATGGACATGGTATGACACGCTTCAACAAACTGCACGTTACTCCTTCGTAACTCGCTCGCTCTCAGTCAGGGTATGTGTACATATGTGCACAGGCATCGGCATGGCGAGCCAAAAAATCACAAGTAGCGATGCCACGAGCCCCTAGGAGCTTCTTGTTCCTAGTAGCTTCTTGCTCCTAGTAGTACGGCCAGGAGCCCCTGGTAGCATCCTTGCTCCTAGTAGCGATGCTCTTTGCTCCGTTCGTAGCGTCCTTGTTCCTAAACATCCCAAGTTGGAGGCTTCACAAGATTCGCCACCATCGCACCCAAGGCCAACAGCCACCTGGCGATTCGCAACACGACTGCGCGTCAGCCACACCAAGCGACATGCCAACGCGTCAGGGCGAACACTACTTGGCCACCCTGTCCACCGAGAAATGTCAATGCCTTGCGGTGAGAGAGAGAGAGAGAGTTGTTCAAAGGCGTATTTTTCTTGAAGCCTCCTAATTGATGCGCTCTTGTTGGTACTAGGAAGGAGGGACAAATGGGCTCAAATGGAAAGATCAGAAGCAGCTTGAGTGGAACACGCTCTCTTTCAATCCGAAACAAGAAGCTACTAGGAACAGGTGCATCGCTTCTAGTAACAAGTGCCTTCTAGTAGTAACAAGGACGCTATTAGAAACAAGAAGCCACTATAGGAACAAGTGCATCGCTTCTGGTAACAAGTGCCTTACTAGTAGTAACAAGAAGCTATTAGAAACAAGAAGCTACTAGGAAGTGCATCGCTTCTAGTAACAAGTGCCTGACTAGTAGTAACAATGTTTGCTATTAGAAACAAGAAGCTACAAGGAACAAGTGCATCGCTTCTAGTAACAAGTGCCTTACTAGTAGTAACAAGGACGCTATCAGAAACAAGAAGCTACTAGGAACAAGTGCATCGCTTCTAGCAAGCGCTAGTAACAAGGACGCTATTAGAAACAAGAAGCTACTAGGAACAAGTGCATCGCTTCTAGT